GAGAAAATRCACAGTTTTTATAAAGTCATCGTTTTCTGCAAACTGTCATAGTCCTTTAAAAGACTGTGAGTGACAAATGTAATTTCTTGAACTTTAGGGATGTTTGAGGTCAAGTACAGCATTTGCTGTCCAACACTTAATGAGCTGTAACTTGCCAAATACCAAATCCACCATAAATTGTGTTCCCTGTCAGTTCATAACTTCAGAGCTGTGCAGCAGTAGAAATGGTAAGAAACTCTTCCCTTGTCTTCAAACTGTAACAGTTTTCAAAGAATGTGCAAAAATATTGTTCCAGCTTGAAAACTGAATTTATTTGGAGAGAGTAAGGCCAGAGCTGGCTTAATTAGCAAACATTGCAGTTGCACAGGCTTTCATTAAATCCACAGTAATTCCAATGAGTTCATGCAGCTTCTGGATAAACTTRGTGAACTGTAACGTCTGAAGAACACAAATTTTTAATCATTACCCTTTTCTGTTTTCTAAAATACTGCCTTTGGAGAAAAAAAGCTCAGATAAAAAAACACATATTAAGATTATGAAGACTAGAACTAAATGCCTGCCTCATGAAATTCTCAGAGTGTTTTGTGGAAATACAGAATGTTTATTTTTAAGCAGTGAGATTGCARGAAAAGTGGGTTTCTTTGTTATTGAAGACAACGAGACCATTGCAGAATCAAACCCAGAATGTGGGTCTCTAGATTTTAAATTTTGTGCTTTAATAATTAGATCCCAGGATAGCTCCAGAACAGCTTGCAGGCCTTACATCTGCCTCCTTCTCATATTATGGAGGGAAAAATCCTACCCTATTGAAAGTGAATATTCTAGAAATATTTCAAATTCCATTAAGTGAAGAGAGATTGAGAAGAAAATCCAAAGGAAAGTAATAGCTATTGAATTGTATTACACCTATATCCCAGAGCAACAAATCTTACTATTTTTCCTCATTTGAACCTCATTCATGAGAGTTTTGTTGTTAACTTGATCCAGATGACAGATGAAAGCATAGTTCCCTATTGCCACCTTGCTAAAATATTTTCTAAAAGACAGTTTTAATATTATAGTTTTACAGTTACAGATTGCTGTTAAGCTATTTAGTCTGTTACCAGTCAATCAAAGACTTTCATTTCACTTTGGTATATCCTTACTTAAACTCAGCAGACTTTTAGGAGGACAAGAAATATYTGTCAGTTTTCTTACAGTGCTAGATCATAAATTCTTTGGTAAGTGGGTTAAAAATTCAGTTACACATACCATTCATGACCTTGACAGCTTAGCAAATAGTGATATTGAATGATCAAAGACAACTGTTTCGAGCCCTAAGGGTTAATATACCTGTGTGAGTAGGTTTAAGCTGCTTTAATTCCTCYATCATTCCTTTATTTCAAAATGGATGCAGTATATTTTGAATGCAAAAAAACATCTAAGGACACTGTCTAAACTAGAACTAARAAGGCCATACATGGTCTTTAGGAGATGCAGTTAATTAATTGTTGCATTTTACAAGTTCACATGTTTTTTTCTTTTCTAATATAAATCCAAATTAAAACCCGTTCCTTCTCAGGTGTAGGTCTGTTGTTCACCAGGCATTTTCAAAAAGAGCTGTTGGTCTGACAATTTTGTTATCAGAGCTGGGGCTGTGCAATTTTTTGAAACCYCATTTGCAGGTTTGAGAGGAAAATGTGAATAAAAATTGAACCTTTGCAATATTAACTATTTCAGATAAGGAGTGACTTGTGCAGAGYAACATAAGATACACATTAGATATGGCCCAGTTTGAATGCATGTGTGTGATCACCACTCTAATTTTCATTAATTGTATGTTTCAAGATTCAAGTCTCTTGATCATCCAGAAAAGTAATAATGAATAATCCACTSTGCTTTCAAAAGAAACACAAGAAAAGATCTTGGATGATCTTGAATGGGAGATTTTCAGGTATGCTGAAGATGTTGCAGGAAATGATGGCATTGCCAGGTCAGTTTGTGGTGTTTTCCCCTCTCGGGCAGCACTGAAGCAGCCCCTGCACGTGTTGWTCTGGGACTGTGAGGATTTTGTGTCTGTGACAAACCAAGGTCCCAACAGGAACGCGCCTTTCCGTGTGTGTGGGTGGAGGGTGTGAAGCCCTGGGGTTCTGAACAGATTCCAATGTGGTTAATTAATTTCTTCCTCACATAAAAAAAAATATAGTTAGCATTTGAAAGCCTGCTGAAAATTAAAAGCTAGCAAAGGGAGCAAACAGAAGTAATGTTACAGTGAAAAGGATTGAATTGTTCCTCAGGATTGCTTTTGTTCTTCCTTCAGTAACCCTCCTGCTCATCCTCCTCAAAGTCCTGCTTTTCAAAGTTTGAAATCATAAGGTGTTTTTACTTCCTAAGCCAAATTTAAGCATACCTGGAAAATGCAGTTCAGTGTAGCACTAGCAGTAGCTAAAGCAAAGACAAACAGAAAATTATATTTGCTATCTTTGTGAAGAAATAATGAATAAAAACAAAAAGCTTTTAAAAGTAATATTTTGCCAAATACCTGGCTTCATTTTAAGTAATGAATGACAGTTACAAGTCATGTCAAAATTTAGATAGTTTGATGGTTACTTGAGTGGAAAAGAAATTCTTATTTCACATTTCTCATATATTTTGCTTCCAGAGCAGGCACACTACAGGAAGGCTACTAGAGCATTAACATTTCTTTGTGCACATTTTACTGCAATCTGGCATGCAAAAGGAAGAAACATTAGAAGTAGTTTATTTATATTTCAGCACCAAATTAGAAAGATGACATCATTCATTTACAGTTCTTATCCCATGACACGCCTAATCCCCAACACCTCATTACAGAGGACACTTTTAGGATTGCATATATCATCTTGTTTAACTTTTGCATTCTTTATGGAATACAGTTGAAAGGTAGGAAATTTAAGGCCGTTCATTGATAAGAAAATAAACTAATAAAATTTTAGGAGCTTCCCCAAAGAGGCAGGGTATGACAGTGTTTACAGTAAGTGGCTTATTATTTGTCTGTTAATTCTCCATCTTTTCCACTCTTTTGTTCMAACTGCCTTCCTCTTTGACTCTAAAGACAGACCAACTATGATGATTCAGATTGGGATGATCTTTTTAGTAAAATTGGTGGAAATTCATAATTAAAATTCATAGAGCTGCTTGCTTCCATCTTATTTGTGAGGGAGAAAATGAAATATTTCCAACTGTGCAGATTCTTCTTACTCTGTGACACACTGAGGAAATGCTCCTACTGTGCTGTGGAGATGCTCAGAGTCTGACAGTGCACATCTGATCCGTGATTTTTCTTGTATCTTGTGGTRGATGCCTTGAGGGTTTGGTTGGGATATTTGGTTGTTTTTTGTTGAACTGAGTCCAGCTCCCCTCCTGTAAAAGCGGTTGTCTATGTTCCTCTAATGGACACCATGTGAAGCACTTGAGAAACATTGTGACAACTGAAAAAAATATTAACTGCTGTAAAGGCACATCAGGATTTCCTGGGATTCTGTGGCTGTTTTCCTTCCATTAGACTTCGTTATACTTGAAATATTGTGTAATATRAATATTTAGTTTGCTTTTTTTCTTTTCAAATCCCTTTTCAACTTTAGCAAAAAACATTCAAATTGGGGAATTTAATAGCAATCTCTGATTTTTATGTTTTCACTTAAAAGATAATTKCCAGTGATGAAATTTTCCAAACAGAGACTTTTATATAGGATTGTTGTCAAAGGAAAATCAAATTACAGCAGTCCTGGAAGTAAATTCACCACATACTAGCTATGGGACATGAGTTATCTCGTGGACACTTTGGAAGCCAGATACACAGTTAAAATCGGAACATTACTGAACAAATGGGTTTAAATTACTCTCCTTAATTTGGTTCTTTAGACCTCATTAGACCGGGCAAAGTCCCAGGGAATGTGTTTTACCCCATCCTCACTGGGGTTACCATGAGTCCTGCTGCTTGGAGCATGACATCAAGTGAGTGAAGACTGATATCTTCCCTTCAGTCATCTGTGTGGTGTTAAGTGTGTATGTCCCTGTTTATTTTAATTTTGGAMGAGGTCTTTGGGAGTTGGCAGCATTTTCTTCTGGGTTTCATTAGTGCGAAATTAATTAAACCTTGATTGTAGTTTAACAGGTTGGCCTGAGATTATCTTCAGTCCTGGTACCACAAAACAATAAGGGCTGTGTCCACTGGTATCAGACTATTGGTAGTAAGATATTTTTGGTGTTATGAGCAAGGTTTGAATTATTTGAGTCTATGTATTTCATGGGATGGAATAATTGTAACAGTGATAAAGAGCAGCAATGTATCTTGTTATCTCATGGTGACAAAGATTTTATTATCTGTACACAGCTGTAGCTGAAGTGTTGATCTCTTTTTCAAGATCTGTATCTTAGCCTTACTTCCACTCARTAACGTGTCAAGTTCCATAATCACTATTTCTCTAAGTGCCAATGTCTCTATCACTTAGTTTTCAGATTCATTTTACTTATTGCAGGGTGATCCTGGTGTACAATTAAAATAAGTTACCCAAAATAGAACATTTAGCACAACTATTCATGATGTTGATGTGCCTTTGTAGCTAGCTGTAAATGTTTGAAGTACATTTAATATTCTCTTCAGTGAGATTAAAAAAGTTAATTGCTAAGACAGAACTTCAGGCTGGAAAAAAACAGGAAACTGCTCTAAAATAATAAAAGCTTTAGAAAAGCTGAATGTCTTTCACTCATCAAACACATCATCCTTGATCATTTACTTTCCTGACTTCTTCGTGTCATTCTATGGATGTGAAAGCTGAAACAGAGGGATGTGTTCACATTATTTTTCTATTTCTGTTTCCTCTTTTTTGTGAGCCAGAAGTCTGGACTTCTATTCTTAGATCTTTCAGCTCAAAAAAACAAACCCCAAAAAAMCCCYAGAGCCAAGATCTTCCTAAAACACTGTCAGAATAATACATTCCAACTTGTAACAGAATTGTTTTACTTTRCATCTTGGACAGACACAGAACAGAATGAAGCTGATGGCAGATAACTATGATGATGACCATCACCACTACCACCACCATCACCACCACCACCACCATCGATCTCCTGGGAGGACACAGCACAACCACAGACCCTCTCCAGATCAGGTTGGTCACCTCTTTCTTCACCTTCAATTTTATCATTTTGTTATTTTGCTATTTCGAGATAAAACAGATTTTCCAAAGAACTAATGACCAAGTGATATGTTCTTTGAACTGAAACTAACAGCTCTGGTATTTATTTCCATCCCTGAAATAGTTTAAAATTTTGGCTTTTTGTCTGGTGCTTTATTTATGTGGAGTAGAAAAACAGTCTGCAGGAACAAATAACTCGTTTTCAAATGGAGGAGCCTGAGGAAAAATTTAACATTGCTTTTATATGAAAAATGTTTTTTGATACTAAAATAGGTTATAAGTTCATAATGTCTGGGTAGAAATAAAAGGGAAAAGCAAGGATGAAAATGTAATGGGGATGTGTGATAGACTACTTAATTGGGAATAGGAAGCAAAGAGGCAAATTATACTTTTTTACAGGGTGATCAATGGAATTATATTAGAGTCAGGAACAGGTAAGAATGAGAAAACATCATTTCTTGGATACTAACACAAAGAAAAAAAACCCAAAAACACAAACCAAACCTGAACAACATAACACAGATTGCTTTGAATTCTTGGASCATGTTAAGAACAACTTTTTGTCAGAAAGAGGAGAAGGGAATTAAGGACTTGCTGTCTTGTTTTAGTTCTGTTTCTGATTAACAGAGATAAGTTGGCTGCGTTTATAAAAGAAGGAAAATTGTATGGAAATATCCATAAAATAAAAAAAAAGTTTTGGCTTTATGCAAGGAACGGAATGAAAAAAAAAGCCAGAGTGAAGGCAAGAGATGTAAAAAAAAAAAAGGTAATAACCACCATAGTGTTACCGAAACCCAGACACTATTTTCAACTAATTCAGGAAACCTGAACCTGTGAAGAAAATTTGAGGTGCAAGACAATGTAAGAGAGCTAAAACTTAGTCAAGTGCTTTTCAATGCATTGTAACAGCTTTTTAGGGAAGAGAATGGCTAAGAAGCATAATGGAAGTCAGTATCAAAACACATCCAAGAACATTAAGGCTTACATGAATGGTGGAAATAGGTACAYGATTAAAGGACACATAAAATAGTAGCTATTTTACTAAAATTTACTAGTACTTGTACTCTCAGATTTTTTCCTAGGTGACAGTTTTGGGCCACTTTCTAAAAAAGTGTGCAGGCCTAGCATCCCCATCCTATTTTAGTCTGCTTCTGTTTGCCAAGGAAAATTATGTCAAGCAAATCTAATYTCCTTTGCTAGGGTAACTAGTTTTGTGGTTGAAGCAGAAAATGGTAGCTTTTAATTTGTCAGGTCTTTAACACTGTCCCACCATATATGTTTTATATGCAAATAAAGACATTATTTTGTAATGTGATTAATGATGAATATAAAATTAATTGTAACAATTAAAATATTTATAAATAATATTTTATATTTTAAATAATTAAGAGATCACCATGAGATGGGAATGCAACTGACAAATTTTCCATTGTTCATTGTCAGATAGGAGGGYCAGTTACAGCAGGGTTCCGAAGAGGGTCTATGATTCCATGGAGTACTGTTTTAGAGATTATTTCAGYGGTGAAATTGAAAAAAAATTAATATTATTGGTCATGAATCAAGTTGTAAGAAGCTCCAAGCACAGGAGGAGCAGTCAGACTGCTCAATGAGATGCTGCAGTCTTGAGAAACTGGAGAAAGTCTAGAAAAGGTATTTTGAAATTCAGTAAAGACAAGTCCACTTACAGGGCAGAAGTCACATGTGCTGATGAGGTAATAGCATGGAAAAAGGAATCTAAATTGCATAGTGAAATACCATTGCAATGATGTTGCATCTAATTCTGGGAGAGATATGATGCTGGGAAAGAAGCAGGAAGCAATTATTCTGTTCCTTCAAGCACTGGTGAGAGCTCATCTGAAAAGCTGTTTATGGTTTTGATCTCCATGCTTTAGGAAACATAGACAGAGTGGAARGGGACAAAAGGAGAGCAACAAGAATGATAGAAGTTTGAGAGAACATGACGTGTGGGGAAGGCTTAAAGAACATGGTTTGTTTAGTCTRGAAAGTACCAAAGGGGAGACATAAGTCTTCCAATACATAAAATGTTGTTGTAAAGAAGACKATGATCAATTGTATTCCAGTGCCCAATGGAGAAAGAGTAGGAGCAGTAAATTTAATTTTGCCAAGAATAACTAGGTTAGTTGTTAAAAAGAAAACTTTTTGACTAYGAGTCTAATGAATCTGTAAGTGGAAATAAAATGTGGACATTCTTTCATATGCATGTAATGGAAGGTCCATTCTTTGAGATTTCTAAGAACAGGTTACGTGAGCATAGCTTTATTCCATCTTGTATTGGACTCAAAGAGGTGTTCTCCTGAAGTGCTGTCATCCCAAAATTTCCACAGACTCTGTGGAATTAGTCCAGCATAGCTTTAGTTGTAAAGGAAGCAAATAGGAGGTTTATAGCAAGATTCTTGCTGAAATAACTTYTGAGAGGAGCAAAGTCAAGCACAATAATGAGTAAACTCTAGGCATTGTGTTGCCTTACATTTTTCAATATTACAGACAGTTGTACTTATGTRACTATAATCCAACATGGGGTTTTAAAGCACAGAATAAACTGAGAAAATAATAAACTTGCAGATCATCAGAGGACACTTTTAATTTTGTAAGGAGATGAAATACGTTTTTGTGCATATTGTAACATAAAGAATAAGACATTTCTGTACCCTTTGTAAAGAGAAAGGTGTGCCCCCAGTTCAAGTTTCATCTTATGGACTACATAGTAACAAACTGTAATTGATTGTTAAAATTAAAAGTAACACACTATTAATTATTAAAATTAAAAGCAGTATCTCTCTGTGAAAAATGAAGTGTAGGTAATGTGACATGCACGTGTCTCAGATACACTGAAATAGGCCTGATGGCATTCTTAACAGGACATTAGGCTATGGGAGAGGTCATATGGAAGAACTTGAGTCTGCATTCACACAGTGGAAGACTRAARGTCTAACAGCCAAAGAATTTTCATATTTTAGCCTTACAACAACCATCAAATCTCCATGCTTCCCATAGTACTGGAGATTTTAAAAGAAATAAAATGTASAGTGTTCTTAATCTCCTAAGAGTTTCCTGAATACCTGAGCTGTAGTGGATTCAAAGCTGAATGCTTTACTCTATGGTCACCAGGGCTACCAATATATTTTAATTTTGGTTTGTGAGAGATTATGTTCTCATAGAAAAGAATCTGATTTTTAGAAAAAATGTGAATATCATAGTGTTCTTTAGGAGCTGGCTGCTTTCCAAAAAGTTGGCCTTATTCTTAGAACCTGTAATTGGGGATGGAATGTCACATGGTGCCTAAGCATGTAAAAAGATGTTCTTTTACATATTTTAATCCAGTCTGGCTATATAGAAAGGGGTTTTTTTTCCTACTTAAAACATTTTGATGGCCCTTCTAAAAGGTTTAGTGTTTAGAAGTAATTTGTTACAAGCTCATCAACAAGTTTTCTGTTACTCAGATCCCATCAAGGAGGCCTAAAAGGTAGTTCAAGGTTTCTTAACTCTCTTCTTATCTAAAGGAAAAGCCCTCCTTATCAGGACTGTGATGGGGCAGGGCATATGTCTGACGCTTCCCTTCCTGTCCCTCTCCAGTCACAAAGCCAACTGCTGAAGAAAGAGCCTGTAGCTCTCTTAATATTAAATGTGTGTCATTTTAAACAGGCTTTTTAAAATTACGCTGGGAAACTCCATCATTTGAGAAAAGAAATCACRTGCAGTGATGCATGAAACTTGACAACAAACTGGCTGCTGCCAAGTAGGAGTGTGCCACTAAAAACTAACTTTTTGAAGAAGACCATGTGCTCTGAAAAAGAAGTGTTTATTGATTTGTAAAGTGGTGACTGGTCTTGGCAACAGGTCTTTATTCATCAGCTGGAACTGCTAAATATCCTTGGAGCTGCTGAAAGACGATATGTGAAAAACTCTGAGCAGGTCAGATGGGATTTTGTTTGAGGTGGAGGACTTTGAAATCAGAACCACAGGACAGTCAAACAAYGATTATTATTTTAGTGTCTGGATGCTGATCTACAAATCACTGTATTGATCCATGTGTAATTTTAGGGGAAGGGAGAGCATGCTGCTTTGTGGATTTTGGCAGTCCTGGCTGTTAGCATAATGCCTTATATTCTGTGGCCACGCTGGAAAATTGCCAACCTCAAACTCCTGAGCAGGCCTCAGGAATATTGAAACTGTGATTTTTCCTTAAAAAAACCTCAACACAAAACCAAACAACACAACCTGAAAGTCATACAAACATGAACCAAAACAGATTGTTTTACCTAATGCAAATAACCCTGGCAATTTGAAAAGCATAAAATTCTTCAAATTTCTTTAGACTGTGAGCAGAAAGTTCAATCAGAGCAGAAGTTTAGTACCTGGGAAACTGAAATATCTTGTTTGGGCGTTTTCTGCATCATTGAAACTTTGTCTTTTAGTTGTTTAGGGAAGAAGAAGGAAAAAAAAAAAAAAAACAAGGGGAAAAAAAAAAAAAAAAAAACAAGGGGAAAACCCAAGTCACCAGTGTCACTGTCATATATAAAAAAAGTGATATGATATAGCTGCCTAATGCAGAAAATTGGAATTATTGCCTTCCTCCCCGACCCAGTTTTTGTTTAATATTCTGTGTTTCTTTGTCCTGCATGTTTACACACTGGTTTTGGGCAGGTGTGAGCTTGCTCTTGTCTGTTCCCAGTGGATGTGAACTCGTTCTGCGGGTGCCTGGAGCTGCAGGGCAGCACGCAATTGCATTAGCTCCGAGCTGAGCCTGCACTAAGCTCATCGGAGTCACATGGATTTATTTAATTTAGGAATTTGGGCAGGGCAAGGTTTGCTTGTCAGTACATTCAGTATAAACAATCCCAGACATACCCACTGTAAATAACAAGTATTGTGCTGAATTTGTGTTTTGAGAACTCAGAAGTGCAGTGCAAATTAGGCATAAAAATGCTTTCAAATTTTTAAGTCTTTCCTTT